ATTGCATCATTGACTAGTCAATTTGTCTGGGATGTATTTCTGCGAGGTAGATGTTGGAAGTATTTCTGTGATGTAGTTGTTTGTGTTGCACTGAGATGTCCAAACTTATTTATAAATCTGAATGAACCTTTCTAAGGCATAGAGTAGACAGTAATTGAGAGTTTCGTACCCTTATGCCTCTCTGCTGTTCTTTCCAGACTCCTGCTTTCCACATTTCCTTATTGAAAATCCCATGTCATGCCATCTTTATCATGTTATACTGTCTTAGTTATGAGCATCTTTCAGGTGCACATCCAGTATTCCGACTCATCTTCTTTTCTGAAAATAATTCATGGTACTTAAAGCATAAAGTGTCAATATTCCATACACAATAATTACACATTGTAGCATCGAGTATCAGAGGACTAGTTTATAAGGTGAAACTTATGCTTTATCAAAGTTTGAAGGACAGTGGTAGAGTAAAATCCATCTCCTTGTAGCAGAGGCATTCAATCTACTGGCTAGCTAGATGCACATACAGCAGTGTAGCACAGTGCTTGACAATTTTGTTGCTTTCAAATGTGATTTAACTGTTTAAGTGTTAATTGAAGCAGTTTTCAATATATATTTCCAATATGATTTATAATAAGAAAATCTCGTTTGGAACTTTTTGGTTATTCCAATTTTCATGTAGTTGATAGTTGTTATTGCTTTAGTCTCTTACTGCACTAGAACTGTCGATAGAAGATAAATGTGTGAAGCTGTACAAATTTGGCTTCCGTGGAAGCATGTCTTCAATAGTTAAGGCCTGTAGGGTTGCCAATCTTGTCACAGTTCTTGCGTTTGAATGATGATATATTAATTACCACCATAGAAGTTTATCATAATGGCTTAATAATAATTTTCTTTGGCATTGTTTCTGATATTCAAAGTTCCAATTAAATTATTAATCACCTCATTTTACCTTTTCATCTCTCGGTCGGTTGATACATTATCCTTGCTTCTAAGCTTTGAAGCACAATGATATGTTTTGTTTAGTTTTTCTGGTTTAGAGCCTGAGTCTTTGGTGTATTAATTATTGCTTACAACATTTGATGGGTTTGTTCGCTAACAAGTAACCCAATCAAGATTTTGAATGCTGATGTCATATAGCTTCTGATATTTCACTTGCTCAAATATAATTTAAGGTAATTGAGACTCCTCATGGAAGAAAAAATTATAAAGAGGATTTGGTTGGCTGTAGAATCAAGGTGTGGTGGCCTCTCGACCGCAGGTAATCACTTTAATGCTTCATATGTTTGATTCCTTAATTGATTTATTTATTTATTATTTTTTTTAATTAAGTTTTACTCCAGGCTTCATCCTTTCCTTCGTCGTCATTTGTATTGTTTAACATGCAAATGAAGAATAGAAAATGATAACTTTGGCCTTCCAAAATAGACTTTGAGTTGAACTGAATAAAATTAGGAGAAATGTAGCAACATATAATGTTTTATTTCATCACCAGATTTTCATTATAAATTGGAATGCTTCGGAATACCAACCTCTTTTTCCCTGTTGGTTATGTCACTGGCTATTATTGAATTGCTGCAAGGCTAGAGTTTGAAGGATGAATGATAATAGTAGCATAGAATAAACTGTCCTCACTTTTCTTTTTCTATTCTGAATTTGGAGCATGCTCTTGCTCCCTTTCTCTCTCTCTGAATAGCTTTAGTATCCAAAGGCGGTCAGCGACAAGATTTGCTTCTATCCACTGTCATGGTATTGCTTGTTGATGAAGATTAAAATTTGCTGTCTTGGTTATGCAAGCTTGAGGCTTCCGAGCTCATTGATGCCTAGCGATGTGCCTTATGGCAAGTAGATGCTCTTCCTGGCTTCCTGCATTAGACTAAACGAGAGGCAAGAAAAACAAACCAGATATTTTTGTCCAACTTATTGAAGCTTAGCCAAAGATATCTAAAAGGACATGTCCAAATTTGATAAAGTTGAATTCAACCATCTTAACTGTAGGCCATTCACTGTCCAATTCGGTTAATTGATATATTTTTTTGGCGCATTCATCAGATGAGGAATTCCTTTGTTCATAAATTTTCCAGTTGCTCTAACCATAGAGTTCTATTTTGCAGTTATTATGAAGGCACCATCTCATCATTTGACACTGTTACAAAAAAGCACAAGGTGAGGTGTTTCCTAGAGTACAGCATCATCTAGCTCACTGCTGTTTTTAATCATGGTCATCATTTTACATTTTGCAGATTGCTTTTTAGACATCTTTTATCACCATGAGCATCATGATACTTTGGCTATTATTCTCTTCAATTAATGATGTAGTCTTATTTGACTTGTATACAGGTTGAGTATGATGATGGAGATGAGGAGGTTTTAAATCTGAGAACTGAACAATGGGAATTCCTAGGTGATGAAATTCCAACTGATATCGTAGGTGTTCTCCCCCCCCCCCCCCCTCCCTTTGACATCTCTCTATTTTATTACAAATCATTGTTCTAAAGTCCTGACAATAATTAATTTGTTACCCAGGATATATTTGTTGACAAGAAATTTCCTCAACCACGCTCAAATACGTAAGCATTCCTTTTGACTGCTGAGTAGTAAAAAGCTTTCCTTTCTGTTATTACTTTGCTGCACTGTAATTAAGCATACATGATGCTTATCTTGTAGCATAGATTGACTGCATAGTTTCACTCATTAGTGTCTTATGAGCTCATTAAAACACGAAGCTATTGTTGTGAACCTTTTGATTCTGTGATGTAAATTTCCCTAATCTTTCGTCTTATGTCCTATTGAATCATAATTGTTCGGGGTTATGTCATGTAATTTGTTGCATGCTAGACTTGATGAATTATGCTTATAATTTCAATCTAGTAACCTAGAGAATTATTCTTCTGTTTAGTATATATTATTCACCTGTATACGATGCAATCAGGCCAAAACGAGAAGGGTCAACAGTGTGTGAGAAGGAAACCTCTCAGACCAACACTAGGAATAGGGAGATAATACCTGCGTCTGAGGCTGAAGCTGATGATGGAAGCCATCAAGTAGCCGAGGTTGTGGAGAAAGTGAAGACACCGGAGGGTTTGAGTGAGATGAAAAGACCAAGATTATCGGATGGACAGAAGTCATGACTATATTTTTGTTTTTCAAATCTTCTTCCTGCTGTGAATTAGTAGTGGAGGAATTTACGGTAGATTCATAAGACAACAATTTTGTACCAGATTGCTGATGTAATATATATGGTGTAATGATTTTGTAAGCTAGAGAATGTTCCAGGGGTTTAGTTAGGATTAGATGGATTTACCTGAGTATGTTCAGGTTTTGATGGGGCATCTTCTTGCAAAAGGGCAACTGTAATTAATTTATCAGCCCAAAGGCTCAATTTTGTACACATCAACTAGACACTTAAAATATCTTGTTATTTCCAGTATTGATTGTTGTGGTTCCTTGTCCATGTTCTCGGTTTCAATTCCGTATTGTTTTATGATCCTGAACTCCAAGGATTCAGTTGGAGGAAGACTTATGCAAAGAACAGGTAATAATTTATAGAAAGTTCGTGACAATGCTCTGTTTTTTTTTTGTCATCAGTTTAATTCAATTCATTTACATGCATGGGAGAGCAAAGAGACTTTCTCGTCCAACTTATGAGCAAGACACACTCAGTCAATAGTTTGACTTGCTACAAAGCATACAATATAATTGATAAACAACACTTTTTTTTATAAAGAAAACCATACATAATACAACAAGTTATTCTCTCATAAGTCATACACGATAAGGAGTCATTCAAAGAAGACCAAGTAATACACACGTGTTCTTTGTGTTATTTATATTATTGGCTTCATCAAATGAATTAAATCTGAGTAGATTTCTCAAGACTAAGACCAAATTAAAGCAAGGACTTGTAGAAAAGAATTACTAATTGCTTAAATAAAACTAAAATAACGCACAAAGTGTGGTAGTATTAATATCTAGCGGCGTTCAATTCGTTGACATGTATGCTACTATGCGAACTAACAAATCAGTTACGTACTAATTTTAGTGTTTTTGTACCCGTTTCTTCTTCACCATTTTGGTTGGACCTTCCAAGCGCATGCCCTTTACTTTCTGCGGACCTAACTCTACGTCTTTGCACTTCTCCACTTTCTTTTGCCATACTACTACAACAACAACAGCAATTTTTTGTTTTAATAATACAAAGTCATTACTTATGGAATGCTAATTTATCACAATAAGACCAAGCTATAATGATTTAATATGTATTTGTTTTGGGATATTATTAATCTAACTAGTTGTAATTAATTAGCGTCACATTTATAAGTATAGAAATTAAATAGATGAGAACATGAACGAGATCGAGCTGTAGTTTTGAATATTCTTTTCAATCTGCCTACATAGTCGTTATCCAATTTGACCGTCTTCTTTTTCGGAATTCTTAGACGTAATTATTTAGCCAAGTAACACATTATACGATTAACAATTTGTTAATTATAGAGGACGGCAATGCAGCACCTAAAAAAGCAAAACTAATCTAAGTAATAGAGTCCATTAAAAGACACACATATATATAGAATAGTAACTTTTTATAGAAATACTCAGTACTAAAAACTACTCCATCTATTTCAAGTTATTTGCAACATTTTGACATTATTTTTATATTTTTATGTCTCATTTTGACCCTTATTTTAATATTTATTTTCTTATAATAAAAGATGAACAATGATCATTATTACACTGAGTCGTGAGGTAAATGAAAGAGTTGGAGTAACATAGGATTATACTCTCGTGCCCATGCTCTAATTTGCACCTATGCCAGTCGTCACCTCACCAAAAAAAAAAAAAAATGTTTACCTACAACAACGTAACAGTTGATGATTGTAGCTTTCCCTTTCACTAAGCACATACTCAAAACCCTCTTTTTATCATGTCTCTTTTTCTTTAATTTAAATAAAATATATATATAAAAAAAAAGGGGATGTTGGGCTAAACGTTGGTAGGTGGGAATAGTTGATCTGATAGTGGCTTTAAATAGAAACAGAATTCCTAATGAATTTGTTAGCTTTGAAAGCTTAATATTTCCCATAGCTTTGAAGCATATCATTCCCTTTAATATTAGCAGTCCCTTTAATAAAATGCCTTCTGACAACTCTGGAAACGGGCAGACAGTCTGTGTGACGGGTGCGGGTGGGTTCATTGCCTCATGGATCGTTAAGCTCCTCCTTGAGAAAGGCTACACCGTTAAGGGGACCGTGAGAAATCCAGGTATATATTTATATTTTAATATTTTATATATGAATATATTATATATGTTTTAACTGTAATAGTATAAGTTATGAATTCTGTGTAAAGCAGATGACCCAAAGAATGCACACTTAAGGGAACTGGAAGGAGCCAAGGAGAGGTTGATACTGTGTAAAGCAGATCTTCTTGATTACGAAGGACTCAAAGCTGCCATTTCTGGTTGTCATGGTGTTTTCCACACTGCTTCCCCTGTTACTGATGACCCTGTCAGTTTTCTGTCTTTTCTATTTATGAATTCCTAATGAATATTTCTATATTCTATATATATTGAAAACTCTATACTATCTATGGATTATAGGAACAAATGGTGGAGCCAGCAGTGATCGGAACAAAGAATGTGATTACAGCAGCAGCTGATGCACAGGTCAAGCGCGTTGTATTCACTTCTTCTATCGGAGCTGTTTATATGGACCCTAATCGCGCCCCCGATAAGGTGGTTGATGAGTCTTGTTGGAGTGACCTCGACTTTTGCAAGACCACCAAGGTACTTTCATTCTTACTTTCTTCCAATATAATTCATTCTCACATGTTTTAATTGTACCATCTATTTCACTATTCCATTGTCCATTCTAATGCTATACATACAAGACGTACTTGAATTCATAATACTCAGTTTATCATTTCATCAGCATATACTATACCTCATGCTTTATTTATTATCTTACAAAACAACCTTAATTAGCTTCCAATACTAAATCTCTTTGTAACTACCTACATTTGCTATATTATTATTTACACCAGGGCATATACATATACACATACACTATATTGAAAACAGAGTAAAAAATGAAAAAAGAAACCTTCAACTTGAAGCTATGAATTAAGGAGGGGGCACATACAATTAAGAAATAGATGGAAAACCAACTCCACCAACCTCAAAAATAAAAATAAACTTAAGCACTACTACTTCTTTTTTGATAGTCACTAAAGTAACTTAATTTTTCTACACATTATGTCATATACTTAGCCTGTGACCAGACAATATGTAGTAGTACATACTCAATAGTCCGTAGGACCCTTCCTTAATGTAATACGAGTAGTTGCTAATTGCTATACCTTTTTCTTGTTTTTCGAATTAATAATAAGTTAAAATAAATGTGGTACTAATTAGACTTATTTGGGGTTGTTGTTGAGATATGTCAAAGAATACGTATGGATGGTCTGCGATTAGGTAAATAACATTGTCACTTGTTATATTTGCAATGATAGCATTTGCTAGACCACAACAATTAAAAGTTGTTTCTTACTTTCTACTACGATGTACGTGAACTTTCCAAGTCGTCATGAATCGTGATAGTGCTATAGTCGTCCAGATTATGATGCTTAGAGAAATTTGTTACAATGCTAGCTTAGACTAAAAAAATACTCCGTAATAAATCAGTTATTGTACGTATTATGACATAATTAAGTACATATATGTGTAGAACTGGTATTGCTACGGGAAGGCAGTGGCGGAGCAAGCGGCATGGGAAGTGGCAAAGGAGAAAGGAGTAGACCTGGTGGTGGTGTGCCCGGTGCTAGTATTGGGGCCATTGTTGCAATCAAGCGTAAATGCAAGCATAATACACATACTAAAGTACTTGACAGGGTCAGCCAAGAAATATGCAAATTCAGTACAAGCTTATGTACATGTTAGGGACGTGGCTTTGGCCCACATATTGGTTTATGAGACTCCTTCTGCCTCTGGAAGGTACCTTTGTGCTGAGAGCGTGCTTCATCGTGGTGATGTTTGTGATATTTTGGCCAAGTTTTTCCCCGAGTATCCTGTTCCTACCAAGTAACTACTCTATACTCTTTTTTCTTTTTTTTTTTATTATCCTTGTTAGTATTACATTTTGGACTTTTCAGCTTTTTATTTTATTTTATATGATTCAAACATAAAATGTGTCTAATCCTAATTAATACACTATAATAAGAAATAATGATTACTACCTCCTTCCTTTAAGAAATAAACATAATTAAGTATATGTTTTGGCTCCACCACTATACAATAAATTAACATATCTTAAGATCGATGTGCCTAATCTTTCATTAATTTAACATCCTCAACAAAAAGAAAGAATAATAATGGAAAAGGCAATCACATCCTTCATTATGCAATTGCACCCAGACATTCTCTTGACAATAACAATCTATGTTGGTCCAATTTTGAAACTTTTTCAACAATTAATGGTATATATTTTTTAAATATACCCTAAGTGGATGTAAGTTGAACAATTTAATAATACTCAACATTTGATATATGATTCCTTATACGCCTTTTTTTTTCCACTGTGTTTTAATGACTATCATAAATTAAAATATAATATGGTCAAAGACTTGAATTGTATGCTGATTATAAATAAACGTAGTACTCCGTATTAATTTGTCTACTAATAGTCAAATTCACTCAACTTCAAATACCTACCCTATATAATATATTCTATGACAACATGCATCAACAAGATACTAACAAAAGGATCAGATTTTACCTACCATCCTTTTGACATGTCATGCTTTAGCAAAAATAACTTCCAGTATTAGTGATTTGAAAAAGAAAAAACAGTAGTGTTGAGTTGGTGTGACAGTGACATTAAAAGACCATATCTAAGGTCTTGTTTATTAGGTGATTGTTTTGTTAATTTAGCTTTGATTTCTTATGTTATACTTCCTCCGTTTTCTTTTACTTGCAACACTTTTTTAAAAAGGAAATGTCACAATACTTGCAACACACTATAAAAGGAAAGTTGCTTAAGGGACTATACTATTTCCCTTATTTAAAGCACATGACCCACTAAATTACACTCTTAACAACCACTCATTCTATTTTAAAGTTTATTATATCATGTAAACCCCACTTTCTTAATTACCGCGTTATAGGGTGTGTTACATCTAAAAGAAAACCGAGGAAGTATTCAATAATTATTTCGGTAAAAAAATCAATATCGAAAAACACCATATTTCATTAGTGAAAGTTGGTCCCACATAAACCTAAGAAACTCGTAAGTTTTATGGGTGGAAAAATGAGAAGCTCTAATAGGTCCTCACCTACTACGAAATTTGTTGTTATTATGCATTGGTGCCCAACTACACTAGTATCTCAGTTTTGATTTTGTTATTGGGGTTTGTAGGGCCCCCACTAAAGAATTTTGGATGAGTTTACAATTGAATTAAATGATGGGGCTTCCTATTCTACTTTGGATCTTGCATGTAGCCCATATTTACACTCATCTTCAAAATCTTCTTCTTCTTACTTTCTGATTGCCTCTTGTAGTATTTTGTATTGTTTCAATTCTCAAACTTGTGGGTTACATTCAAAGATTTTGCCCAAAAATAATGATATGATAACATATATAGATTTCACCAACACAAAAGTCTTACTTACCTTCTTTCGCTATGTTTGGATGCAAGTACTTGCATGTTTTTTTGATGCAAACATACTTACATATTCTCGTGTCCCATTTATTTTTTAATTAATAAAATGAATCTACGTATAAAGTTTTTCAACTAAGTAGAACAATATGAAATGAGAAAAGTTAGACGGGTATCATATATTTGAATAGTATTGTAGAATAGCTATTGTGAAATGAAGAGTGTAATATCGTACTTGGTATGAAACATATGTGAAAGGGTTGAGGATTACTCCCAAGTCGGAACGCTATGAAGAATGATGTATAGCATGAGTAGATGTGGTGCTTGGTCTCGGTCAAATTTTAATGCCTCTATGGAGTTATCAGTTCTCAAGTTGATCAAAACAATTTGCATATCTTTGACTATGGACGAAAACATGTTTGCTACTCCATTTGTTTTTGCTCTCTTATTTTCCACCCTAATAGTTAATTAGTTGTCGTTCTTTTTCTCTAGTGTTAACTGTTTGACAATTTTAGTTTGATAACTATATCATTTTGTAACTAATAAAAAGTATATCACAAAACAATGTAGGTGCTCAGATGAAGTGAACCCAAGAGCAGAACCATACAAGTTCACTAACCAGAAGCTCAAGGACTTAGGATTGGAGTTCACTCCTGTTAAGCAATGCTTATACGACACCGTTAAGTGCCTCCAAGAAAAGGGTCACCTTCCTCTTCCTGTCCCTCCCCAGCAAGAGGAATCCATCCGTATGAAGTGAAATGAATATATTGTATGCTTGCCTTCTGATGAAAAACTTCTTGCCAGTATGCTTTTGTGAAGAAGCTAAGGGATTACATTGTTCAGATATTGTACTTATAATGGGGGACTATGAAGATTCCTATGAGCTAGACTATGCTTTTATTTTGAAGCATATCAATTTTAACAAAGTACAAATTCACTTCCATTTAATAAAAATATATAAATGAAAGAACAAATAATGGACTAGGTATGTACAAAATATAATTACTTTGTCTATATAGTAGTAGCAATTAAGCAAGATCATAAATTGTGCAGAGAAATAAAATAATGTACACTGAGTATGTATCAATGTACTCTCAACTCTCCTCGAAGAGGCCAATCTTGATGTACAAACAAGGCCAAATGTTTCATTACCAATATTATTCTAAATCTTCCAAGGAGAGGTCTCCACTCCTAGCTATCTAGTATCTCCCAATAACACCTAACTTTCTCAGTATTCAGAACCACTTCACTGTTAAGTTTGCACCCAAACTCTGCATGCCTAATGTCTATTTCTTGATTATAAGCTAAAAGATAAAAATAACATTCATGAACTTTCTCTAGTATATCGTTAAGAGCAAGCTAACATTCAACGATTTTGATCTACAAGGTCGTGAACAGTTTTTGACTCAAAACAGTTCAGAGAAGTTCATGAATATTATTATATTTTAGCAAATTCCAAAATTAATACATGAATTACTCAACGTTGTCTACGTTGGTCCTCCTTTGAGGCAGTTGCATGTTAACTATGTCTTCACGAGGAATTTGTTGATCTTCACGCGTTGTTAGTGACAGAAGCTGGGTACTCTCCCTGTTTTTACGGAGGACAAGGTATGCAATCGCAGCCAAATATATCACTAGTCCCAAAAATCCGAGTATTCCACAAAATATGGCAGCTACTAGTTTTAATTTACTGCGTATCAGTAGCTTGATAAAACTGCTTGCGATGAAGTAAATGTTAATGACCATGATCAAGGAGCCAATCACCCATGTGACTGCCGAAAGCTGTACATAGATCGACAATTTAGAAACATCAAGACTCAGACAAAAATACCTTTCACCCAAAGTAATGTATATAATTTGGTCCGAATGTTTATAGGTTGAATCTAATCAGTTCTAATTCTTAGCTCTTACATCAGAATTCATGAAAAAAAGTTAAGAAACTTACCAGGAATGAATTAGCATGGACACCCATCTTAGCCTTACTACTGGTGAATTTGAGAAGTGGAATGAGAGCAAATGGGAGTTCAAATGATAAGATCATCTGCAAATCCAAGTACGTGAAGTTTAGCCGAGCAGAAATGCTATAGTACCTATGACTCTTTGAAACTCAATATAAACAACAAAGTTTAAGAGATGCTAATGTTCTATGATCCTTAAAGATTGAGGTGGACCATTCCCAGATTCATATTGGCTACGAACAGGAGACAAACGCTAAAGACATTTGTGTCCTCCGTGTTGATTTAGCTGCCAATGAAACACTCATGAACAAGAAAAATTTCGTTTTCTTATTCTTAGATACAATGCAGCAGGAACAGCAACAAGGTTTTCACTTTTCAGCCTAACACAACATTTTGATTCTTCATATAATCAAAATGTCTAGCAAACTTCTTTTGAAAAGAAAAAAAATGTCTAACAAACTTATATCTTACATGGAAGTCATAAATATGGTCATGGATAAACAGATGAATAATATGCAAATTCACAAGAAGCGTTAGACTCATAAAAGTTAAATGTGTGTCATTGACTCATTGTGTGTGATTTTTATCCGGGTATGCCAGAATCTACGTGCTTAGATACTACTAACCTGTAAGGATAACAAATGTATTCTAACAAACAGAAAATTAGGAGAGAGAATATATAAGAGCACAGAATGTTGTTAGGAAAGTGGGTTGTACCGAAGCAATAATGATCAACTGCCCAGCTCCTGCAGAACCACCAATAAGTGCAACAATCAAACTGGGGACTATAGCCAAGCATCTAGTCAACAAGTTCCTAAGCCATGGCTCCATTCGTAAATCAAGAAAACCCTACAAAAAAGAAATTTGCAGAAAATATATTGTAGTACCAATCAAGATAATTTAACAACCAGGCTGCAGCCTGCAGGTATGATGGGTAGGATGACTGACTAAAACCAGGAGATTAAGCAGACAAAGAAAAAAAAAAAGGGTTAATAGACCTGAACTGAACTAATTTGAAAATATTAAGCCTGAACTGAACACTTCTCTACACTTATTTTTAGCTATGAAAATCTGACCTTAACTGAAATAATTTATGCTTAACAGTCCAAACTTGTCCTAACGTGTGAATCTTGAACTGAACTAATCAGAGCATATCAGAACAAGAAACTTTCTATACAGTATAAAGTGCATGACCTTAATCAGAGGTATTGATCTAATCATGAGGATCAACTTTCTTCTGTTTTACTTGTTCTAACATAGGATATATAAAATAACTGTCGATGCAATAAGCAGGTTTATTTTTATGCAGAGATCAGAAGGTATTGTACTTTACATAATGATTTGAGAAACATCAACAAAAACACTGAAATTGGAGAATATTCACCAATGAGCAAATAAATTAGACTGAATTGTACCTGCATAACATATTGGCCAGCATAAGTTCCAGTTATTGTGGAGCTCTGACCAGATGCCAGCAATGCTATTGCAAAAAGTTTTGAGCTCCAGTTGCCCAAGACATTCTGTAAAAATTAGGCATATGCCACTCATTTGGTATACAACTATAGACCATATAGAATAAACTAAGGATCCATAATTCAGAGGAAATTAGAATATGAAAATGTACCTTAAGTAGAAATGATGCTTCGTTCAAGTCCAAGTCTTTGCAGCTCTTTTGATCTCCTTCGTTCAAATCTGAGGAACTGCAAACTGCACCACTAACAGCTATGACAGATACATTAATGAGGAACGCCACTGCGAGAGCAATTCCACTTTCTATCAGATAGAATCTACAAGCTTCCTGTGAACAAGTAATTGCATGATATAGTGTTCTTTATAATTAAGATCTTTGAAATGTTACAACAGATAATAGTAAGAGACACACAGCTATGCCTGCAGTCTGAAATCCAAAGCTTCAAAGTTACCGACGGAAAGGATCCTAATTAAAGCAAAAGATGCATAAAAAAGTAACACAGAACATGAAGAGGCAGAAAGGAACCCTTTCAAATGACAACTCATAGTAGAGCGTAGACAATAAACAACTGGGGAAGGGAACTGAACTCTACTTGTTGATATTTGTAAACACAAAGTACCATATTCATCAGGTGAATTACCTTGATACCACTAGCAGAACGTGGTATTTTTCTGGAAAGTACTAATGCTGAATGGAGAAAGAGATTGTGTCTGAATCAAGAAATCAGTATCAGAGTCAGACACCTTTTGAAGCAGGAACACAGTATTTGATCAGGAAAATTAATACAATGAGGAATTGGGGATATTCAACAGAGCTCAAGTTTGTCTATGAATTAAACTTACGGCATAACCATAGCGCCAAGTAAGGAAATGGCAAGGCCAGTTGCACCATCTCCTTTGAGTTGAGGCACAAAAAGCCCATGCAATACTTCTGAAGCCTGTGGCTTTGCATATCCAAGCTCCACAAGAAAGCATGCAGCAATAGTAAGAACCAAAAAAGTAATCAAGAACTCAAGCTTGCGCACCTAAAAACAGTAAAGATAAGAACCATTCAGATTATATAAACAAGAATTGCAATATGCTCAATGCTCCATAGCAACGAATACGGAGGATCTATTTACACACCCCATATTGTTGTAGTGCAAGTAGAACCAGAGTGCTAAGACCAGTCAGAAGAACACCAGCCCAAACAGGAATTTTGAAAAGCATATTCAATGCAAATGCAGTTCCGATAACTGGAAGCAAAAAAGAAAATTATTAAAAACTAGCCAAAAAAACAATGTAATCAAAATAAGTACCAGCTAGGCAAGATACTGAATATATACACACATATCGAGACATTAGTTAGGTAGTCTGCTGAAAACATGTTAGTTAGTTTATCAGAAATTCATACAAAAGTCAAATGAGATTCAAACCTTCAGGAATGTCGCAAGCTACTATTGCGATTTCAGCCAAAATCCATAAAATAAAATTTGGAACTTTTGAGTACTCAAATCTACAATGTTCTGCCAAATGCTTCCCTGAAAGTCAGGAGCTAAATGTTATGTAACGGGCATGGAAGGCCATAGTAGATGCATAGTTGGATAAGAGGACATGCCTGTAACAACACCAAGATTAGCTGCCATAGACTGAATGATGAGGGCAGCACATGATGCCACCAATATGATCCAAAGTAGCTAAATCCATGTAATGTTTAGACGGATAACATAAGAAGGGACGCGACAAAAAAAAAAAAAAAAAAAAAAAAAAGGCTTTTAAATTAAACATGTGAAGATAAACAATACACACCTCGTACTTGTATTGAGCTCCGGACTGGAGATCAGTTTCAACTGTAAGTAACTGAGGAGGTTAGAACAGTATGCAGAAGTTTAGGAAGGAAAAAAAATGAGGAAGCCTTACAATTTCCAGGATCAATGTAAGCAATGGAGACTAGGAAGCCGGGACCCACATACGAAAAGAAGTTTTTCCAGCTCTTCTTCTGTGCAAAGCATTGGTGAACTTAAATGTAATTTTACAGTTATTGACAAAATGAATAGTCCAAACTGACTAAAACCGAGCAATAGTTTCTGCAGTTTTTCAATTTTCTACTATACTTATTCATTAATCAAATTTAATTTTTTGTCTTAAACCAATTTTAACATCAATGCCTAAGTTAGAAATCATATAGCAAATTGAGAAAAGGAAAACAAAGAGGAAAAGCAATGCAATTAAAAGGAGAGTAAGAGTAGACCTCAGAAACAAGAATCTGGTTAACATCAGGGGTTTCAATTAATCGGGACCTGACATGAATACTCCCGACTTCTTGTTCATTCCTATCACAATTATCTCTTGCTATGAACTGCGGCTGATGACTCATTTTTTTAAATAGGTAACCCCTGTATTCATAATCAAATCAATAATTTACTGGAGTAATTTAGTAGTGTTTTCAAAATCAACAGAATGAATACCTCTTAGTCAAAATGACCCAACGATGTTTTCGTTTTCCGGCGCCACCTTGGGTCTGACGTGTTTACAGAGGAAGTACCACCAATCACCTTTGGGACCGCCACATGCCCCCTTTACTTATACTACTCTCTCAGGATCTTTGTGGGGACCACCTTTTCCTACTTCTTCTGTTTCAAAATAAACGTTACGTAGTAAATAAGATAAAAGACGAATGGAATGGTATTTTTTTA